CGCGCGAGTGCATGTGTGTGTGTGTGTGTGTGTGTGTGTGTGTAAGAGCGGGGGGGGGTAAAATAGTACTTGAATTCTAAATATTATTCACGTAATCGCGTCCATGGCATGCTTTTTTCCGATTCTTTCTTCATGAAAAAAAGACTATGCATTCTATAAAGCGGATTTATATAGACAAATCCAACTCATAAAAATCAATTCGACCACCAGTAATGGTGCCCCAACCGAATAAAAGTTAATTTCGGTGTTTCCATCTTCTATTATTATTGTTCTAATAGAAGTTCTAATAGAAGTTCTACAGATTATTGCGATAAATATTACCACATGCCTCAGTGGTCGAATTGGTACGACACTCTTCACGGAATGGAAAAAGTTCCAGGTTCGAATCCTGCCTGAGGTAATATTTTTCGCAATAAATTTAATTATTTAAATGTGATGCTTATATATATGTATAAGTATCAAAGATTACATCAATTTATACAGACCAAATCCTTGGTTAAAAAGTGTGTCTTGACGATAATTGAACCAAATCACGGTCGTATTGGCTTGACGACTATAATGACCAATAAAGTCGATTAATATTTAATAAATTATTACCAGTTAGGCCGATTCATACGTCTTAGTTTTATTATTTCGTACTGGCAAACAATTGCATTAAATTAGATAAATATTTAGATTAATAAGATAATATAAAGATTAAAATGTATTAATTTTTAATAGTAAGGTATAATATTGTCTGAATACAAGCAAATATTCGCCTATCCGGCTCCATCCTGCTTTGCCTGCTACTTCCATTGTTAATTCAATTTCATATTATTTTAACACAATACTTTAACTATTAAGTACTTAACTAATATTTCATTAAATTGGTGTTTAATATTGATTCTGGAATATTTTGATAATTATATATCTACTGTGAATACTCTGCAATTACCAATCGATTTGAAGAATAATTTTTCAATTGATACGAAATCGATTTGTATCGCTTAACAATTACCTATTGTATATGTCGCGCCATCAAGCTGGAACGTGGCGCTCTTGCATTTCTTGAAGAGTTTTTGGTGCGAATGAGTTGGAAGCTTCGGTAAAGGAGGTGGTGGTGGTGGTGGTGGTGGTGGTGGTGGTGGTGGCGGTGGCGGTGGCGGTGGTGGCGGCGGCGGCAACAAAAGAGGCGGAGGTAAGCCCTCAGGACCGTGCTTCACGACACTTCTTTCACTCTGGCTCATTTCTTAGGCGGAAAGGAAACGTAATCACAATCTCTTCGCCTCGCTCCCGATAGCAAAGCAGATAAGCAATTTGTCGTACGACTTTAATCGTTGGATGCGTACATGATTCAGAATACTATGGCACTTACTAAGTGTTCTCAATCGTCGATCTCGACACGATGCGATTGTGATCAAGTAATGTCATAAATTAGTTTCCTTATTCGTTTCCCGCGAAATTATTATTCTCATTTCTCTTCCTTAGTAGGCACTTGAATTGCAGGCACTTAAATTTTCAATTCTTAAAGAGTTGTCTCTTCTAATCTTCAATCCCATCCTGTTAATGTAATTTTATTCTGCAAAAGTTCTTCCCGAGTCCAATAGTTCCATACAAGAGCAAAGTATTAATTTGCTCCAAACTAAGATTTTATGCGAATCAAATTTAATATAGAAATTTGTATAATTAGAGAAATTAATCTCTCCTATTGCCAAAGGACTGAAAGTCTTTAATTCATTCCAATGAAAATTCCTGCGTTATAATAAAAAACAGATTTGCGAATCAATAACCCCAAGATCAATATCAATGGATTTTAAGTACTTTCACGAGACTACTTAACGTAATCTATCTCCCTCTCTATCTTTATCAACAGAAAGAGTTATAAAGTCTTGATGAGAATAAAGAGTTTCATGTCACTGATGGCTATGAGTTACATATATACAAAATAAAATACATAAATTTTTATGCTGCTCAGATAAATATGTATATAATACGGATCGATATTCTTAAAGTAAACTATATTCACTGGAGTGTGTTCTCTCGAGGCATATACTACAGAATGCGAGTATTCATGTACTTTGAAACGCTTAGAACAATCCAATTTGCGTTGAACGTAGGGCCATCTGCGCGATGTTGCTATTGTTGCCGTACAGTAGCCATTATATTAATGAGATAACAACGTTATTCACGTGTATTCATATAAACCAAATAAAGTTATTTGAAAAACCACAAAATTATCCTCTATTATTTAAAAATGTAAAGCGATTGTTATAAATTTAATTTACATTAATTTATAATTTTAGTCGGAAAATAGTCATTTAGAAGTTCCTTATTAGAATCAAGATAAATTTTATTATTGTCTCGTCTCGTATATTGAAATATATGTATATGTATATATATAACATGAGAATAATGCATTACATAACAATGACGATCAGAAAAATCAATTACTTGAGATTAAAACTGCGTGGAAAAAAACTATTCTAAAGTAATTCCATTACGTCCTTCGACGGTAGAATTACATTAGCATATAATTGTATATAGTTAGGAGAATTCAGAATATATCAAAATTAAAAAATTAAAATGTTACAGATAAAAGAGAAATACGTGAGATAAATCGTGCCGATTTGAGTTTGCCGATTGTTCAATTTGCTCGATACTCGATATACTCGACGTACATCCTGTGACGTCAAATTCATCATAAGCTCGATACCAATAAACTCATCCTTTTCATCGCCATCTTATACCTCGTGTTTTATACTTCGTCATCGATTTCTATCGCGGTGAAAAAGAATAATGATTGAAACTTGGGGGGAGGGGACGGGGGAGATCCATCATTTGTAAACCGGTGCAGATACGTAGAGGCGATTATATGTCAAGTTTTGTCTTTTTTTATTTTGTTACATTTACGATCGAGACAAATATTGCTTGCGTGTATGGAATACAAATACCTGGAATGACATCCACATTTTTACGTCTTTTCGCCAAACCAATTTGAATTTTCACGACATTCCACGGAACGACCTAGAAAATCTTCCAACATTCTCACCATCCTTGCATTCGAGAAATTTATCACGCGTTATATCACTTATGGCATATAAGCACATTTTGGAGAACCGAAAAGCAGACGAAGAACCTCGCTCATTTTATTAAGGGCTTTTGGGCCATGAACGCACTTGTCTTCTATATATGGCATTTGCAGAGGAGGTTGACAGAAATAATAATACCTAATATACATACATAGCACCAAGTCTCAAAAACGTGGGAAAAAAACTTTTTAGGATGTAAATTTTGCATATTTCCATATGTAATATTAGTTACGTGGCACTAAAAACTTTATACACTATTTAATTTAAATATTATAATGTCGCTAATTTTATATAAAATAATATATTTTATAATATCGTCTAGACTTCCCTGCGCCCAAGGCACTTTCCCGTAGTGACGACGGTATAACGAACAAACTTATTGGCTTGTTCGGCTAAGTCCAGGCCTGCGGCTGGTTTGCACTTTTCGGCCGAAAGAAAAAGAAGTACTCAAACGTAAGAATCAAGCTACCATCAGAGCATATTGAAGATATTTTCATATCATTTGCTAACAGTTCTTATCACAGAAGGTGATAATGAATAAGTATTAAGACTGATACGTGTACCGGTCATAACTTCTCTTGTCCCAGAACTTAAACTTATTTTTCTAACGATATATACACAACAACACTTACAAAATGGCATATAATTCAATGTTGTGCGCCAATGGTCCATTTTGGGCGAGGTTTTTTCTGCGCGAATAAACATATATTCATAATAGTAATTACAATGCTTCTACTAATGAGGGACACATCCGCGTATCTAGTTAAATTCATATTTTTTGCACATTGACAGCTGCCATTTAAGTTTTTTTTTTGTCCTCCTCGTCAGTCTTTCTCTAGTTCTTTGGCCGATTTTTTATTTATTATAGAATTCATTGTTTCGTCATAAGCTAGTAAATTTCTACTTTGACTGAATTAGATTAAACGCAAAACTAGATCGCGTAATGTAAATACAACGATGCGATTAATTAAAACGTGTTATTGAATGAAAAACCAAACTCTTTATATATAGCATTAAACTGACTGTTGTTTTGAAGAAATTTAATTCGTGAAAGCAAAGCTCCGATTTCAACGGCTAATTCGTGCTAATTTAGGTCGAGTGTAATGACAGGCAGAACAATAAAATTAAAGGGAACGGATGCGATGCCTTGTCATTGTTGCACGACAACAATTTTCGAGCTTAGTAGTTATTACTTTTGCGTCAAGAATATTCGTGCGATTGTATATTAAATATCAATCCGCTATAGCTGTTATTATTTTAATTATTTGATACATATCTTTTAAAGTCGATCAACATCCGGCGCTTCGGCAACACGTTTATTATTAAAATACTCTACTTTCGTTAATAGAATTCTATAGGCAGCTTTCTCTGTACAGTCATTTTTTCTCAGAGATGGAGGGGAATTTATTTCTCTTTATATTTATATAAATTTATATATAAATACATGAATACTCGCTTATTACTATGTTAAATACGCATATAAGAGAAGACATAAGTAAGAATATTGTAACAAAATATTTAAAAATTTACGGAAAATTTTATTCCTTTACGTGATCCGCAATATTTGCATTATTAGTAATAGGTATTAAGTTCATTAATGTATATTTAAAATTAAATCGAATTTCCCTTAACGTAATTGATATGCACGCCTGACTGACATACATGTTTATAGGTAGATATGTACTATTCCAAAAATGCAAAAATTACTGTGTAAATAATAAAAGTGTATAAACAATTTTTTTTTAAGTAGATTACTTAAAATACTTAAATCATCAAAACTCGACGAACACATTCTTTCGTCGAAAAAACATTTAGCATTATACATATATCCATCCTTTCTTAATTTAATCGATATAAAGTACTGTGGCAGAATAGAGAATGCCTCGAGATTAACTCGTAAAATTATTAATTAAGGAACAAACTTATAAGAAGCAAACTATATGCTCATATAATTATTAAGAAAAACATTGGGGCAAAAAAATGGCAACTATAAAGATTAAAATAACATACATATGATATGTTTTGCAAAAGATATCAAGATGGATACATACAAGGCGTAATAAATTATTATTTTCGATACACCGCTCCTTCATATCAAACACTTCACTAGCTTGCACCATTAGCTTGCACCATACCGATGACTTCAATCTTCCTACGTTCGCACGTGGCATAAAGAAAAAAAATTAATACACGAATCCGCGATATCAACGTTTCTGCGTCGCTCCAATAACGATTCGACAATACCTAAGTCTATTTCTTGTATGAGTTATACATATTTGTAAATTTCGTGTGCAATAATCGGACGATTATATTCGCGCGCGACACGAGCAAAGTCAGTAAAGTCAGAAAAATACAGAATTTATTTTCTGACGCAGGTTCGCGAACGCGACTCCACGTGCCACGGTCCGCGATGCGACTCGAACGCAGCTCGAGAGCTCACCTCGAAAAGCTTGCGCAAGCGTGCAGCGATGCGGCTCGACGAAAGCCAATCCGCGTAAGCGTGTCTCCATTCGTAAGGGTTACAACAAAGAGGAAAAGAGAACGAGAGAACGGAGAGCGAGCGGAGTGCACGCAAGCACTCTCGAGGCACTGCTTCGTACCTATAAGAAATTCGTTCTCGTATAAGAAATTCGAGTGTATGCACTTTTCGCAAAGAGGGACGAATGTGAGCACGAGCCTACGCCTGACCTTTCTAAGCGATGCGATGCACTAAATCTCCCGACTATACTAGCGTCGGTAAACGAATTATTTCTCCACGTTGATTTGCTGATTTTAGATTCTCGTCTAACAAACGCTCTTTTGCAAATGCTTTTTTGCATTCTTTGTGCAGACAAACTTAAAATGTTTATTAAAAAAATTAATAAATTTACTTACTCTTTGCGCGCGCGTGATAACAACATATAATGCATATGCATCAAGTTTACAGCATTACGAAAACTAAAGTGACCAACTCTTCCGATACATGTTATATGTTATCCTATATTAATGCACATCTTTTCGTAAAGAGAAAAAAAAAGATACACATCTCAATTAATATTATTGTGTGTATACATAAAAATCACTCATAAATTGAATCGCAAAAAATTTATTTCTTAAAAAGATAATGGGACGTGTATTCGGAAAGTAGTACGCATAAATTTCGAGGGACTCTATTTGTCTGCAAAGATAAAGCCGGACCTCTAAATTGAAATAGCTCTTGGCTTTATTAGCGCTTAAGCGCGCTAAGCGCACCGTTCTTCAAGCCTCGATATTATTATCGAAATTTGAGCTGCGTAAATCTAAAGAATCGCACGTTGGATTTGTCTAGTCTAGAAAATAGCACACGGCATGATTGCCAGAAATTATCACGCGATTTATATCTCTCAACTAGTCGTCGTTTACTTCAATTATGTGCCAAGAAAAGAGCTAATATTAAGTACGGTAAGTGCAAGCTAAAGTAATCGTATTGCTGGAGATCTAATAGAGAGTATAGAGACTTATAAGACGGCAGTTCTCTCGTGCAATGACCGCGGATACTTAACTCCTTTCAGCTATACTCGCACTACATCCTGCCCACCCGCTATATACGAGTAGCTGATGCTAGTGTATCGATCTAACGTTTATAGGACAATACGTAAAAAATCCTTAATCGCAACTAATATCTTTCTTTCCCTAGCTCCCTCAATAGCATGTTACATGGCACGCGTTGTCTATTATATTTATATATATTTCTTGCTTTATAAATGCATAGAGTTATTTGCGGGACTAATCAATTGTAAGAAAATTGGATATTGTCGCTCATATCATTTATGCCAACAATAAATGTCAGTCAAATCATGTAACAATAGCGGCCCATTCCCTTTTATTGTTAGTTCGCCTTTCGTTGGTAGTGTTAGTAGTGTTACGTGGTACATTATAATAATACATCTGATAAAAATGATACAATAATGTTTTTTGCGAAACTGTAAAACTGTATGAAGATTTCAGATAAATGCCTCCGGGATACGGGATACGGGATACGGGATGTATATATAAAGATATTAATATGATATTATTACTATTTCGACATGGTTGTGTCGAATCGATATGATATTTACTATATAGATACTAGTGAGAGGCACTGAATTGTGGAATTGAAAAGAAATGAAATAACTGTACATCAGTGACGAGTAGACTTTCCTGGCGGCTGATATAAAATTGCGCGCGATCAGCTAGATAGATCTGATAGATGAATGGCCGGTATATTATTGCGGTCGAAGAGGCTGACAGGACGAACGCGCATCGCGCGGCCGGCAATGCCTACGGCGAGCGATGGTTGCTGGTAAAGTCGTTCGACCTCCGAGATGTAATTTAATTCAAGGGTCGGGTGAGCAAAGATAGATATAGATGCTCGAAAATGGGGATACACTGGGCGAGGGTAGACGCGTAGAGAGATAGAAGCGTAAAAGGTAAAGAGGCTGAGTCGGGACGAGGGGTTCGGTTGGACAGAAGAAGGGGATCGTTATAAGTGACCATGTTACTTATATAGGATAGGAAGAAAGGAGAAAACACCATATAGAGTCGAGATAGAGAGAAGAAGCAGCGAGAAGAAACTGCGAGGAAGAAGCGGCCCGCAGGCAACGGGTAAACGGAGGCAAGATCGAGAACAATATCGAACGAGGTCTGAAACAACGTCAATGGGAGACACGTCGAGGGTAGAGAATAATGTTTGGACTCGCGCGCGCGCGCGTTATCATCGAGGAAACGCTCGGCAATGTCGAAGGTCGTGAGGAGATATTTCAGCCTCGAAGCATATACAATATCCTTAATCTTTCCTTCTTCCGAGAACGAAACTGAGATTCTCCGAGCAGACCTCTAGCTGAAAATATTTCGAGACGCGACACGGTCCTATTTAACAATAAGTATTATTATGGTATCTATTCGAATCCTCGAGAGATTTATCTACATCTTTTTATATATATATATATATATATATATGTATGTATGTATGTATGTACATAAGTAATCAAAATAAGCCGCTCTAATAAATAAGCTTATAAAATTAATCAATGCGTCGTGCAACTTGTAATGCTGTGAATGATAGATACGATTAAATACTGCGTGTATCGCTGCATGTATAGATGTCAAATAAACGGAACGGTAATCTAATGATTCGCACCTAATTAATAGGACACGACAAGTGCTGACCCGAGCGCACCAGAGAGCGTGTCCTCGTCGCTCGATGTGATTGATGACTGTTAAGTAGACATTAGCAAATAAACTCGGCTAGTTAGCAAATAAACATAACATTGCCTAAAACTAAATAATGCAGGAATGAAAAATTACGATCAACTATGTATTTCGAAATCATTGTAGATATTTGATTTATATGACGATATACTCTTTCCAGTTATTTTTGTTATCGCGTATTGTTATTGCATCAATTATTCATAAATTATGGGGCAAATTTAACGTTATACTTATTGTTAGTGGCCTTGTGGCCTTCTACGAATTGAAAAATCATCAGCGATCTGACTTAAATATGCACGTTACTATCCCACTCACCACTTGGGAACCTTGAAGATGAACGCGCACTCTGTAACACATATCTTTTTACGTAACAAAAGCACTCGATCTCTTCCAAACTCGGTCTTTTTCCTTTTTCCTTTTGACACGCTCTCGGCTATCTGCCAACTGGGCGGCAGAAAGAACGGTCCTGTCATCTTTATTCCGCCGATGTGAAGTCGACCGCACGTATTCTGGCGTAGAATATACACTTAGGTATGCGTTCGCATGACCTTAATATCGTGGCTCTATATGACGTATGAAATAAAAAAAATTAAAACAAAACAAAATTGATCAAATACGCGTCAAAAATGGACACCATTAAAGAAGAAAGAAATTGTACGAGCAATTTATGTAAGGTATATTAGATCGCGTCGCTTCCTATTCGCGAAATCAAAGTATAAATAAATGAACGATTCTTAAGCAAAGTTTATGTAAATATAATTTCATATTTGGATTTTTCTATTTTCAGTGAGAATAAATCGCGCGCGAATTATTGTTGAATGTGTTTCGATAATGTGACGACACAAACGCGAAGGAATTTCTGCGACTCTGATGGAACAGGAACGGATCTCACCGAGCGCGGCGCGGTCCGTCCGCGATGCGGCGGTCTCTCTCTCTCTCTCTCTCTCTCTCTCTCTCTCTCTCTCTCTCTCTTTCTCTCTCTCTCTCTCTATCTATCTCTCTTGCGCACTGTTATTGTATAATGTCTTCCGCATCGTTTTGTGTGTGGACTCATCGCCTAAATTTAATTCCGTAAACTACCGAATGAGTCTACCGGGGCGCTTGCTTGGCACTTTTCGGACATAAATTCTTGCGATTGCCTTTGCCACTCAAATATAATTAAACTGCAGGAGACAAAACTTGGATTGCGTCTCAAGACAAATTTCACCCGCGGCGAGTTCCTCGATCGAATCGCGCACGTGCAAATATGACGTAACGGAATATCGAAATGGCTCTCAAAAACGATTTATTTAAAAAATTGCAGACTTGTGCCGTTTTCGAAGTAACCGAATCAGTTTTATCTATTTGTTTAAGAAATTGCAAAGTTTTTCTTAAAGACCTCTTTTAATATGTATAATAAGAGAATGATAAATGAACGATCTAGTAATGCACGCCCAGCCGGAAGTCGCATTTGTACAACCACGTCATGAGAATGAACGTGATATATAATAACCATCTTACACAGAAAAACAGTGTCAATGTGCTTTTCTTTCACTAATATTTTTCCGTTTTCCGCAACCTGAATGATTGTGCCGCGAGCATATTTGCGTACCTAAAAGGTTGACGGTCGATTGATATCAACGACCGTCTGGTACGCAGTTTTGGTACATAATCTCTATACCTTTGCGTTACTTTCTTACGCATTCTTATACATTCAACGATAAGTACAATAACTACGATGTCATACGTCGGATCTTGTCTATCATGTTGCATCGTGCGTATTCGTGATTGCGCTATAAAGACGGCGATATATATAACGTCGCCTCTGTCTCAATCGTTGAGAGCGAACTGGCGTCGGCGTCGGGGGGGATGTGATCGTAAATTTACAAAATAGAAACGCATCGTTACTACATCGACCTCGAAAGATGCATACCATAAATGCAAGAGAAAACTACGAGCAACTTTGAATTGAGAGAATCGTGGGTACGTTACGAATCGTATTTTTGTAAAATTCAAGTTGGCATGAAATCGCGATTTATGATCTCTGACTGTAGGAAGAAATGTAAGCAATGCAAGTTGGCTAAATCCGCACTTTAGCAAGGCTCTCTCTCTCTCTCTCTCTCTCTCTCTCTCTCTCTCTCTCACACACACACACACACACACACACACACACACACACATTCACACACACACACACACACACACACACACACACACACATTTATATTTCATCGCAAAC